TGATGTGGTGGAGGCTGACTCCATATACAGTTTCAAGTGTAGATATGATAAGAGCCCAGTAGGCTCAGGAACCTGTACACCAGTTGATTGACGGTTGAGAGGCGGGACCAAAGAGCCAGAGCTCAACCCCCGCAAGCACAACTAGACAAGTACCCCCCCCCCCTAACAGTCCCATAGCGGCGCTGAACCAGACAAAAATGGAAGTGGAATGGTTGAGATAAAAAAAAAACACAACTCCGGAATCAACAGGTTGGCAATATTTACAAAAAGTTGTCGGCAGTTGCCAGCGAGTCAATTGTCCATTGAGCATTGCTGGCGGCTAAGAGACTTAACCCATTACGTCACATTTAACCCCTTATCTCCATTACCACTCCGTAAAAAATGTAACGTTTTCGCCTCACCAAAAGCGTTAGATCCTAGACGTTAAGCGTTAGGCCTCTTGACACGTCAATATGGCGGGAATTTTTAAATTCTCTAAACCGCCCAGATTTGGCGGGAAATGTGGAGTGTAAGAGGTTGTTGTTTGTGGTTGTTAGTTACACCACGTGTTGCTTAGTGTGTGTTGTTTGTGTACGCCAGAGCTGTCTTGGGCGTCTGCGTCTGCTCCTGCGTCACCACGTTCATTCTCTGCGTCTCTTGCGTCACTGTGATGATTCATAGCGTCACTAGAGAGAAAGAAAGAGAGCAAGCGCCAGAGAAAGAGAGAGCAAGAGCCAGAGAGAGAGAGAGCAAGAGCCAGAGAGAGAGAGAGAATAAGAGCCAGAGAGAGAGAGTAAGAGCCAGAGAGAAAGAGAGAGCAAGAGCCAGAGAGAAAGAGAGAGCAAGAGCCAGAGAGAAAGAGAGAGCAAGAGCCAGAGAGAAAGAGAGAGCAAGAGCCAGAGAGAAAGAGAGAGCAAGAGCCAGAGAGAAAGAGAGAGCAAGAGCCAGAGAAAGAGAGAGCAAGAACCAGAGAAAGAGAGAGCAAGAACCAGAGAGAAAGAGAGAGCAAGAGCCAGAGAGAAAGAGAAAGCAAGAGCCAGAGAGCAAGAGCCAGAGAGGAACAAGAAACAACCACCACCCCATCAAGAGCTAGTGTTGTGGTACAGTGTTGCCAAGTAGCAGTTGTTCATTCAGAATTTCTTGTTCAGTGTTACCATAATTATATCCTCAATACACACTGTTGCCATCTTACAACCGCTAGGCTATGTTTTTGTCCGCTAGGCTTTTTTGTTCCTCTTGGAATGTGTTTGTTCTCTACCGAAATATAGATGGTATTTGCTGTTTTTGTTCCATGGGGGTTGATGAGCTGGTTGCCAAGGTTGGGGTTCAGCTCCTGGGCTCGTATTTGGCCTGTGTGTATGGGGAGTTTGAATTGGTTTTTGGGGGTTAATTTTCAATTGTGGGTTATTGACACTTCTTCATCTACCATTACCCCTACATAAACCCCTTTAATCACCCCGTCTAACGACCACCCCGTCTAACGACCACCCCGTCTAACGACCCCCCCCCTAGGTCAGCACCTGGTTCTCAAACGCCTCTGGCGGATGATCTGATATTGTTACAAAGCTGCAATTTACTTGGTAATACTCCTCCTCGCTCTCTTTTTCCCTCTCTCTCTCTGTCTCTGTGTCTGTGTCTCTCTGTCTCTGTCTGCCTCCTCTCTGTCTCTGTCTGCCTCCTCTCTCTGTCTCTGTCTGCCTCCTCTCTCTGTCTCTGTCTGTCTCCTCTCTCTGTCTGTCTGTCTCCTCTCTCTGTCTCTCTCTCTCTCTCTCTCTCTCTCTCTCTCTCTCTCTCTCTCTCTCTGTCTCTGTCTCTGTCTCTGTCTCTGTCTCTCTCTCTCTCTCTCTCTCTCTCTCTCTCTCTCTCTCTCTGTCTGTCTCTGTTTCTCTCTGTCTCTCTCTCTCTCTCTGTCTGTCTCTGTTTCTCTCTGTTCTCTCTCTCTCTCTCTCTCTCTCTCTCTCTCTCTCTCTCTCTCTCTCTCTCTCTCTCTCTCTCTCTCTCTCTCTCTCTCTCTCTCTCTCTCACACACAATATCTCTCACAACCTTGAACTTGAAACTCCGGAGTTCCCAGTTAGGGTATTACTTCCTCCCTCTACAATCCTCTATACCACCCTTACCACTACTCATATATGCCTCTAAGACAAGTACATATCTACTTTAACAAACACACTCGACAAAGACAGCACTAGACGGGGTATATATAGAGTTAAAACAAAGATACAAGTGTATATACAAACGCTGGGTGTTGCCATCCAGGTGGTCATCATTTGACTTAAAGTTGGAAATTGTTGATAAGTAGGTGCGGGGTTGCCAGATGTCACCCGCGGTCTTGTCCAACTTTCATTCATGGTGTTTGGCGTAAGTCATTGTTACGCGGCGTATTGGTGGCTGGTTCTGTTGTGTCTGGGAGGTGATTGGTGATTTAGGGGCCATGGACGGTACGTTGGCCTGACGGGAAGGGACGGGTTCTGTCCAGCGACAGATGGAGAAAAGGAGAGGGTTTAAAGAGAAAGTTGGCAACTGTGCGGAAGCAGTTAGCGGATATCAATTTAAATCGCACATTTCTGGTCAGACGTGCGGCCTTGCCTCCAGCCCTGCTACACGCATGCGCGCGCGTGTGTGTACACTCACACGCACGTGTGTGTGTGTGTGTGTGTGTGTGTGTGTGTGTGTGTGTGTGTGTGAGTGATGTGGTGGAGGCTGACTCCATACACAGTTTCAAGTGTAGATATGATAGAGCCCAATAGGCTCAGGAATCTGTACACCATTTGATTGACAGTTGAGAGGCGGGACCAAAGAGCCAAAGCTCAACCCCCAGCAAACACAACTAGGTAACTACTCACACACACACACACACACACACACACACACACACACACACACACACACACACACACACACACACACACACACACACACACACACACAGGTTACCGAGTACACACACTAAGGTATTATTTGTGCTTGCGTAATAAGCGTAAAGGCAGTGGTGTGTACTCGCCGTTCTGTGTGTGCGTGTGTGTGTGCGTGCGTGTGTGTGTGTGTGTGTGCGCGGGGGGGGGGGGTGTAGAGTTAAGCAGGGTACAAGTTGGGGTTGATACAGGTTCACCTGGTACACGTGGCTGGCGTTACGCTGATACATGTGACTGTGGGGGGTGGGGGGTTGTAGGGGGGTCAGGGGGGACCGTTATAATTATGGGGTGTCCTTACCTCTGAAGTCATCGTGACTCAGCCATTTACAGGTTTTTGCAGATCTATGCTGGTCCACACCTGCCCCGGGGGCCTCTACACACCTGTCTGGGGTCTCCACACACCTGCCTGGTGCCTCCACACACCTGCCCGGGGCCTCCACACACCTGGTTGATGGGGTTCTGGGAGTTGTTCTACTGCCCAAGCCCGGCCCGAGGCCAGGCTTGGCTTGTGAGAGTTTGGTCCACCAGGCTGTTGCTTGGAGCGGCCCGCAGGCCCACATATACCTGGTTGATGGGGTTCTGGGAGTTGTTCTACTGCCCAAGCCCGGCCCGAGGCCAGGCTTGACTTGTGAGAGTTTGGTCCACCAGGCTGTTGCTTGGAGCGGCCCGCAGGCCCACATATACCTGGTTGATGGGGTTCTGGGAGTTCTTCTACTCCCCAAGCCCGGCCCGAGGCCAGGCTTGACTTGTGAGAGTTTGGTCCACCAGGTTGTTGCTTGGAGCGGCCCGCAGGCCCACATATACCTGGTTGATGGGGTTCTGGGAGTTCTTCTACTCCCCAAGCCCGGCCCGAGGCCAGGCTTCACTTGTGAGAGTTTGGTCCACCAGGCTGTTGCTTGGAGCGGCCCGCAGGCCCACATATACCTGGTTGATGGGGTTCTGGGAGTTCTTCTACTGCCCAAGCCCGGCCCGAGGCCAGGCTTGACTTGTGAGAGTTTGGTCCACCAGGCTGTTGCTTGGAGCGGCCCGCAGGCCCACATACCCACCACAGCCCGGCTGATCCGGAACTTCTCTTAGAAAACCGTCCAGTTTTCTCTTGAAGATGTCCACGGTAGGGAGCCGGTCGGCCGAGCGGACAGCACGCGGGACTTGTGAGCCTGTGGTCCTGGGTTCGATCCCAGGCGCCGGCGAGAAACAATGGGCAGAGTTTCTTTCACCCTATGCCCCTGTTACCTAGCAGTAAAATAGGTATCTGGGTGTTAGTCAGCTGTCACGGGCTGCTTCCTGGGGGTGGAGGCCTGGTCGAGGACCGGGCCGCGGGGACACTAAAAAGCCCCGAAATCATCTCAAGATAACCTCAAGATAACGGTTGTTCCGGCAATATTTCTTATGCTCGCTGGGAGGACGTTGAACAACCGCGGACCTCTGATGTTTATACAGTGTTCTCTGATTGTGCCTATGGCACCTCTGCTCTTCACTGGACCTCTGATGTTTATACAGTGTTCTCTGATTGTGCCTATGGCACCTCTGCTCTTCACTGGTTCTATTCTACATTTTCTTCCATGTCGTTCACTCCAGTACGTTGTTATTTTACTGTGTAGATTTGGTACTTGGCCCTCCAGTATCTTCCAGGTGTATATTATTTGGTATCTCTCTCGTCTCCTTTCTAGAGAGTACATTTGGAGAGCTTTGAGACGATCCCAATAATTTAGGTGTTTTATCTCGTCTATGCGTGCCGTATATGTTCTCTGTATTCCCTCTATTTCAGCAATCTCTCCTGCTCTGAAGGGGGAAGTGAGTACTGAGCAGTACTCAAGACGGGACAACACAAGTGACTTGAAGAGTACAACCATTGTGATGGGATCCCTGGATTTGAAAGTTCTCGTAATCCATCCTATCATTTTTCTGGCTGACGCAATATTTGCTTGGTTATGCTCCCTAAACGTTAGGTCGTCAGACATTATTATTCCCAAATTCTTTACATGCTGTTTTCCTACTATGGGCACGTTTGATTGTGTTTTGTACTCTGTATTATGTTTAAGGTCCTCATTTTTGCCGTACCTGAGTACCTGGAATTCTAAAGTTGATAATTTTCTGTTTTTTTTTAGGTAAGCCGAATTGACGAGGACGTGTTGAGGGTGAGTACCAGTGGTTACTGTGACAGTTTGGTGGTTGTAAACAGTAGTTACTGTGGTAGTTTGGTGGTTGTAAACAGTAGTTACTGTGGTAGTTTGGTGGATATAAACAGTAGTTACTGTGACAGTTTGGTGGTTGTAAACAGTAGTTACTGTGGTAGTTTGGTGGATATAAACAGTAGTTACTGTGACATTTGGTGGTTGTAATACGCGAGGACATCACAGTAACATGGTATATCTATGAGTGTGGAGCAGGTGGGTGGCCATTCCATCCAGCGGTCGACCCCAAAGACACATTTAACAATTTTAACATGCTGTTCATTCAAAATAGGAATTTTCTCAAATATAAATTAATATTGTTATATATTATTGTGCATATTTAGCCACTGGTTAGGTGTTAGGTGTGAACAAATGATGAATGCGTGTGTGGGGTCGACCGCTGGATGGAATGGACTCGAGTCGAGGACGGGTTGGCACTTACACAAGCACTTGCTAACCTGTTCATCTTTTCTCAGTCTTTGGGGGGCGACATTGTTTACATTAAACAGCTGACGAGCTGGAGAAGCACCAGTTTGTAACAATAACAACAGTTGATTGGCCAGTTTACTCTTTCGTAAACTGTAATTTTAAATAAATGTAAACTAGTGAAGTGGTGACGGTGGTCCGGGAGTACTCACCTAGTTGTGCTTGCAGGGGTTGAGCTCTGGCTCTTTGGTCCCGCCTCTCAACTGTCAATCAATAGGTGTACAGGTTCCTGAGCCTACTGGGCTCTATCATATCTACACTTGAAACTGTGTATGGAGTCAGCCTCCACCACATCACTGCCTAATGCATTCCATTTGTCAACCACTCTGACACTAAAAAGTTCTTTCTAATATCTATGTGGCTTATTTGGGCACTCAGTTTCCACCTGTGTCCCCTTGTGCGTGTGCCCCTTGTGCGTGTGCCCCTTGTGCGTGTGTCCCTTGTGTTAAATAGTCTTTATCTACCCTGTCGATTCCCTTGAGGATCTTGAATGTGGTGAATGGGGGTGTGGGAGTGGGGGCGGGGGTGTGGGAGTGGGGGCGGGGGTGTGGGAGTGGGGGTGTGGGAGTGGGGGCGGGGGTGTGGGAGTGGTGGCGGGGGTGTGGGAGTGGTGGCGGGGGTGTGGAGTGGGGGCGGGGGTGTGGGAGTGGGGGCGGGGGTGTGGGAGTGGTGGCGGGGGTGTGGGGGAGTGGGGGCGGGGCTGTGGGAGTGGCGGCGGGGGTGTGGGAGTGGGGGCGGGGGTGTGGGAGTGGTGGCGGGGGTGTGGGAGTGGTGGCGGGGGTGTGGGAGTGGTGGCGGGGGTGTGGGAGTGGGGGCGGGGGTGTGGGAGTGGTGGCGGGGGTGTGGGAGTGGGGGCGGGGGTGTGGGAGTGGGGGCGGGGGAGTGGGAGTGGGGGCGGGGGTGTGGGAGTGGGGGCGGGGGTGTGGGAGTGGTGGCGGGGGTGTGGGAGTGGGGGCGGGGGTGTGGGAGTGGCGGCGGGGGTGTGGGAGTGGGGGCGGGGGTGTGGGAGTGGGGGCGGGGGTGTGGGAGTGGGGGCGGGGGTGTGGGAGTGGTGGCGGGGGTGTGGGAGTGGGGGCGGGGGTGTGGGAGTGGGGGACGGGGGTGTGGGAGTGGGGGCGGGGGTGTGGGAGTGGGGGCGGGGGAGTGACTGCTATTTTAACCTAGGGGGCAGCAGTACCCGGGCCGCCGGGAGCGTGACGCCTCGCATACCGCCCGGGGAACCCTGCCTGCTTGCCGTGCTTGCTCCTCCCCTGCCCTGCTCTACCGTGCTCTACCTGCCTGCTTGCCCTGCCTGCCTGCTTGCCAAGCCCTGCTCTGCCTGCCTGCTTGCCCTGCCTGCCCTGCTTGTGCCCTGCTTGCTTGTGCCCTGCTTGCTCCTGCCCTGATTGCTCTTGCCCTGCCCTGCTTGTCAAGCCCTGCTCTGCCTGCCTGCTTGCCCTGCCCTGCCTGCCCTGCTTGCCCTGTCTACCCTACTTTACCCCTGCCCTGCCGTGATACACTGGTGGCCATCCCTGATGTGTTTACAGTAAATACCCGCCCTATGTGGGGCAGGGTAGGTGGTGGTGGTGGGGGTCGTGTAAGACACGGGCGAGGAGGGGCGTCGCCGTGGTGAACTGTGGGGGGGGGGGGGGGAGGGGCACGGAGGTCACGTCCAGAACTCCCCCCCCCCCCGTCCCCCCTCTCCGGCCGAGCCTCGACCCTGTGGCCAGGCTTCGGGCGAACCTGAAGGTACACCGCCTTAGGGCACTAGCGGCCCCACAAGGACTCGCTCCTGTCTGAAGATCCAACCGCAAAATGGTCAACTTCTGGTCAACTCTGACCTGAAGTCCCCAGGGGAGAGTATCCCCTTCTCTCCCCCAGGGGAGAGTATCCCCTTCTCTTCCCCAGGGAGAGGTGAGGTGGAGACCTCCGGCCAGCGCCAAGGGTGACCCTGTAGCCCCTTGCAAGATGGTCCACAAGCATTCCTGACTTTAATCTACTCAGACCTGCCCTGAAGTGCCCAGAAATCTTCTTCTCCTGAGAGATATGTACCCATGGAGCCGATCGGCCGAGCTGAGAGCACACTGTACTTGTGATCCTGTGGTCCTGGGTTCGATCCCAGGCGCCGGCGAGAAACAATGGGCAGAGTTTTTCACCCTATGCCCCTGTTACCTAGCAGTAAAATAGGTACCTGGCTGTTAGTCAGCTGTCACGGGCTGCTTCCTGGGGGTGGAGGCCTGGTCGAGGACCGGGCCGCGGGGACACTAAAAAGCCCCGAAATCATCTCAAGAAGATATCATCTCAAGATAACCCCTATTTTGTACGATGTGACACATGAAGAAAACGGGATGCAACAAGTAACCTAAGTCCCTTTGGACTTTCAGAATGAAGATACCGAAAGTCCATAACATTGAAAATGTCCCCAGACGATCTCGACAACCTTCCTGTCGCGAAGTCCACCGCGGGATCACCATAGACCGTGCTGCTTGGAACTTTTTGTTCCCAAAAACCGTATTTTATTACGAAATACACAATATTTCACAAACGTGAACATGGAGAAAAAACCTATTAAATGAAGTCCCAAGGAATAACTGGTCAAGAAATAAGATAGAGTTTAACAGTTAACCCAAATGCTTAGCCAAGCCCAGGTCAGTGTGCCCAAGGTGGTGCCCCAAGGGAGGGGTGTGGGGCATGACCTTGGGGGTGAGGGTAGCTCTACGGTACTCTTGGGTACTCTGCCCACTGGGGGTCCCATACCCCAGCCACAGGTCCCCAGTACCTGGTATTGATACTGGTAATGGCTCAAAAGGGCCACCACTTACGGGCTATTCATGCCCGTGCCATCATTTGGCTGGCTTAATCTTTGTCAATCAAACAATCCCATTACACTGCTACAGCTTCGTGTCATCCTAGCATGATATCTCATGTTTTAGGGTTATGTATGATATCAGTCGTATCTTGCGCTCGGTAATGGGTTACAACATGATCTTTACATATGGCCAACCAGGTTGTAGTGGATATGTGGGCCTGCGGGCCGCTCCAAGCAACAGCCTGGTGGACCAAGTTATCTCAAATCAAGCCTGGCTTCGGGCTTGGGGAGTGGGACAACTCTCAGACCACCCTCCAGATATAAGGTAAATCCAGGCAGACTTGGGAGGGATGCCAGGGCAAGCAAATGATGCCCAACTACTTCAACCGTCGGGGATCGAACGCCGACTTGCAGAAAAGCGCGGGGTTGGGTTAGGAGGTAGTTGTGCTAGCCCCGTGGATCAATGTCATCCTATGGGTCAACCAAGCTGTTGGTGGATGGCGTTACACGCAGCGTGACGTCTGAATCACAGTCTGGATGATCAGGGGAGCCTTTTTTGGTGTTTATGAAGTTAGTTCTTTAGTGGGTGAGAGATGGGCGGCGGTGGTGGCGGGCACTGGAAACAGGTGTCAACATTATGCCCCCACACGAGGAAGAGTGCCCAAGTGTTGGCACTCTGGGCACGGCTACTGAGTGCCACACACACACACACACACAGCTCTATGGTAGCCACAGAGATATTAGAAAGAACTTTTTTAGTGTCAGAGTGGTTGACAAATGGAATGCATTAGGCAGTGATGTGGTGGAGGCTGACTCCATACACAGTTTCAAGTGTAGATATGATAGAGCCCAATAGGCTCAGGAACCTGTACACCTGTTGATTGACAGTTGAGAGGCGGGACCAAAGAGCCAGAGCTCAACCCCCGCAAGTACAACTAGGTGAGTACACACACACACACACACACACACACACGCTGCCACACACACACACACACACACACACACACACACACACACACACACACACACACACACACACACACACACACACACACACACACACACACATGACTTCAAACACCGGTTAGCTGTGAAAAAATAAACATCCCAAAGGTGCTGTACAGAGGTCAGACCACGGACCCCAGTCGTGGTCTGGGGTCCCTGGTGGTGGTCTGGGGTCCCTGGTGGTGGTCTGGGGTCCTGGTGGTGGTCTGGGGTCCCTGGTGGTGGTCTGGGGTCCCTGGTGGTGGTCTGGGGTCCACGGTGGTGGTCTGGGGTCCCTGGTGGTGGTCTGGGGTCCCTGGTGGTGGTCTGGGGTCCCTGGTGGTGGTCTGGGGTACCTGGTGGTGGTCTGGGGTACCTGGTGGTGGTCTGGGGTCCCTGGTGGTGGTCTGGGGTCCCTGGTGGTGGTCTGGGGTCCCTGGTGGTGGTCTGGGGTCCACGGTGGTGGTCTGGGGGTCCACGGTGGTGGCCTGGGGTCCCTGGTGGTGGCCTGGGGTCCCTGGTGGTGGTCTGGGGTCCACGGTGGTGGTCTGGGGTCCACGCTGGTGGTCTGGGGTCCACGCTGGTGGTCTGGGGTCCACGCTGATGGCCTGGGATCCACGGTGGTGGTCTGGGGTCCACGGTGGTGGCCTGGGGTCCACGCTGGTGGTCTGGGGTCCACGCTAGTGGTCTGGGGGTCCACGGTGGT